ACAGGGAATAACGAAGAAGGAAACGAGAGTGTGCCGGATGATCTATGCCAATCCAAAGAGGAGCTGGAGGAAATTAATGGGGGAAAACCTAAGAGAAACAATGTCAATATTGGATCAGAGGAGAGTATTAAGGGAAGTCAAGGGGAGAAAATCAGCAAAGTTAATTAAAAAAAGGCTGGAAGATCTATTGAAGATAGACCAAGTGTATAAAGATCTAGTGGAGATAAATCAGATGCACAAAATGGTTTCAGAGGGCATGAAAGATGGCAGATTGCTTAGAGAGACAGAAACACAAAGTGAAAAAAGAGAAATAACAGAGGGAATTACTTAGAAAGATGGAAAATAAGAAGGGGCCCCTTAAGGTTGAAAAACGTGTATATATTTAACTTTGGGAATTATAAAGGGGCATATCCTGTATATTAAAAAGGAGAATTAAATTGAAATAAGGGAACCCTAACCAGGGTAAAGACGTAATATGGTGGGTTTTCATTTTAGGTAAACTAAACTAGATATAAAGCTGGGGCATGGATCTGGAACTACTTTCAATAAGAATGTTATTAGAAGACCTTGAGAATATTGTACACTATGAGAGTAATATTATGAAAGTAGTCATATTATATACTAAAATATGTACATGAATGGTTTGAATGTCTGAAAGATGTCTGGAATTTGGGGGGACAACCGGGAAGATACTGAGATGTAAAAAACAAATAATTGTAAGCAAACATGTAACACGATGTTTGACAAGCACAAACCAATGTAGATAGATTGAAAAACTAATAAAAATTTTTTTTAAAAAAAATTGTGTCCATGGCTTATTATCCTACCTTGGGAAGGAGCAAGCAGGAGTTGACTATGTTGCCCAGATAAGTTCCTATAAATGCAGTAAAACTTCAGGAGGCACTGGGAGGTTTCTTTCTTCTGAGTTAGTTTCTCCCCTTTCTTATACATTTGCAGGAGTAAGTACACATCATGTTCTTGGCTTCTCCCACTTCCTTATTAGATCACTGATGGTGAAGCCTTTTAACAACAAGATGAATGCTTCTCCCTCATTTTTAAATTCCATGTCTGACCTGATCATATTTCTGTTGCTAAGGAACTAAGAATAGGGGTGGAGAGTCTGGAACCAAAGAAGGATGTAGTGTGGGGTCTTTGGGGAGTTCTGGCGAGTCATCATAGAATAACACTAACTTGGATTGCTCTACTGTGACAGTGATTCTCTGAGGTCCCTAGTTCTGTCAGGTTTTGCTATGGAAACACATTCTTCCTCAGATAAAGAGCTTGTGGGTCATAATCTGACTAAACCCTGACATTGGGATTCTTTGTTATATTAGCAAAGTTATAGGAAACTTTTTTTAAAAAAAAGTGTAATGTAGTAAATAGAACGTCAGACCACCTGAGTTCAGATCCTGCTCGAACATGGAAACTCCCTGAGGGTAACAATAGTAAACCACTCCTTGACCATCTCACATACATCAAAGACTTTGTCCCTGTTAGGGTTGGCATAGGTTGGAAATCAAGGCATACTGTAGAAGAAATATATTTAAATTAAAAGATGCTGAGCAGAGTTAGCCACTTGATGGCACCAGAACTCAAGAAACAAGACATTTTCTGAGATGCTACAAACAACACTTATTAGAAAAGAAAGGCATTTCAGATCAAATGTTGAGGTGTGGGTTGAATGATCCACCTTGTACATTGGTGAAAAGTGACTCAATCATTGTCTTGGAACTGCATAACTACATAGTATGCTTGTTTAAATCACTAAAAATCACTTCAATCTGTTTGTTTCGGGTTTTGGTTTGGTTTGGGTTTGGTTCTTGAGGATGAAATTATCAAAACATGTTCAGTCCCAAATTTTGTAGGATTATTCTGTCCCAATGTGCTGCTTTTCTGTTTGAGCATTGTGTACACAGTAGCAGTTGTGGGCAAATCTGAACCAGGGAAGCAGGAAAGCTGTGGGAGAAACCAGTTGCTCACAAAGATCTCTTCACAGCCATTCTTCACAAGTTCAAATAATGCAAATAAATAAGATACATATTATTTTCCCCTAATTTAAATCCGGAAATGTTAATTTCAGTGTTGTACACAGTTGCCATTTTTTCTCTTCCTCCAAATGAAAAAAAAAGGGGGGGGAATGAGTATGCTTCTCTTCTAGAAAGCGGTTGGTTTGGGGGCGGGGGGGGGTAGTTTCTAGCTGTGGAACATTTACTGTGTACAGAAGTGAATGTTCACAAATTATATAGACCACACAAAATAAGCTGTCATTGATGGGATTTTCTAATTGTGGAAAAGGGAAGAATAAACTTTTTAAAAAAATCTATATGGGCACTATTATGTGTGTGTTCCTCATTTAAATTTTGGACGAGGCATTAACATTTAATTTTGGAACAATTTTGAGGTGGGAAAAAACCCATGACAGCTATGTGTGTAAGCTACATTCTAGTTTTCAATACATTACAAAATGAATTGTCATTTCAGCACTTTATATGATAAAATAGTATTTGGATTGAAAACTTTTTGTTGTTTCTGCTGTTAGTACAGCATGTACATACAATGCCACATAAATTAAAATATTTTATCTTTGTAAGTCTGTGCAGCTGTAGAGAATTTGTATTTGTATGGAAGATTAAAACTATATTTGTAGTACATGCTGTTGACCTACGATAGTATTCATCATATTGTAAATAAAATGATGTGCTGAAGTAATCATAATTCTGTCCTAGACTTGGCAATATGTATTCTTATTTCTTTGGTCCACATTCATTTAGCAGTTGCTCTCAGTCTGGTGTCTGTGTGGCAAGTTTTTTTTTCCATCCTAGATGAATGTGTGGCTAATCTCACCACGAATTGCCTTGATTTTTACAGTAGCCATACTGAAGTACATTAAGGAGA